AGTTAATACAAGCTTATCAGGAAAACTTGACCAACGTTAAAAATGTCTGTAACGATCTGAAATCGCATCCAATTATCAGTCTTTACCCAAACAGATAAAGCTTTTAACATTTTTCCTTTGCTTTTAACATATTTTTGAAGGACTTTTCTTAATAATAATAATAATAATAATAATAATGGAGACAAACAGGACCTCTTATTATTACAAGCCAGAACAAATGGACCAATTATATCAAAGTGAAACTAAACTAAATGCATGGAAGTGGAGGAAGCAATTGTTGCTGTTGTGGAAAAACGAGATGAAATTGTAGACGATATCCTAAGTTAATATCGCAAGTTTGTTTAAAGGGAATATATAAATACTAGCGCAAGAGAATAAGAGACGATCCTATATTGGGAAAAATGTAAACTACACGCTGTTATATAAAAAAAAATAAATAAAAGTAACAAAATCTAACAGTTTGAGATACAGCGTGGTCACTCACTTTAAAATATGTTGTGAACAATGAAAAAAAAACAAAAACTGACAGATCTTTTCCAGCAGAAGACAAGTAAAATATAAAAAATATCAGGAGCCCGCCAGACAAGTGAAAGAACTGTAGGACATAATAGCTACAGTTGTAAGACGTGAACCGTGCCAAAAAGAAAGAATGAAAGAAAGAAAGAAAAAACAAAAAACTCGAGACTGAAATATTTGGAGATTCGAGAAAGAACAAAACTGGGACTGTCCAGACCACAGAACTGTTGGAATCTGTAAGAATATTGAGGAAAGTGCGGGAAACCTGTGAAGACTGGCTCTCGGCGACATTATCCAGGCAATTGGTGTCAGCAAGAAAAAGTACAAAATAATAACAGAAAAAAAAATAACTTCATGGATAATTCAGGGGATAACCATGTAAAAAGAAAAGAAAGGCAAATGAAGTGGTTAGGACATGACTGCGCAAAGGACACTTGAAATGAGATAGTAATAGCAGAACAAAATTATATTAAAACGAACTATATCTAGGCTAAAATAAACAGAAATCAACATCAAATATCGCCTGTACGGAAGTCAAAAATGAATCAGTCGCAAAAAAAAGAAAAAAGAAAAAAAAGGGGGGGGGTTGATCCGTTTGGATTTCAAAGAATCAATCAAAACCAAGAAATCAGATTTACTTTTTTTTCGGTTGTTTAATTTCTGTATTTTCAAAAACTGAAAGCATACATATACCCCCTCCCCATATATATTCAATAAATCAATAAAAGCTCAATAGATTTATCTATATTGACCGATTCAAGAGTTTGAAACACTCATCAGGATCAGATATTCGATAAATCTATTGAAATTATTATCAGATTTCATTTATACTTCTTGGAACCAACGCTAAACATAACATTCACATTTCAAACTTTAAATTCTTACGAGTTTCATTATATATATATATATATATATATATATATATATATATATATATATATATATATATAATCTCCCAGCTAGGTATTATGCTGATGACAACTATTTACTCCGTTCGAAAAAGTCCGACAAATTAAAACTGACAGTTGCTCTTGAAAATTACCTCTAATCAGTTGTTAACTGGTGCAAGAAATGGGTTGTAAATTTTAACGCCTCCTAAAGGAAACAACTAAATTTTAATCATAGAGAACCATTTTTCGTTTCCATCATCATGACTGATTCTAACCTTTAGGAAAGCAACACATTGTGTCTTCTTGGTCTCACGTTGTCTACTAATATGAAGTGGAGTGATTATATACAATCAATTGCTAGGTCTTTTGCTAGAAAAATTTGGTCACTGTGTCGTACCAGACAATCTTTCTTGAAAGAATCCATTTGGCACATTTCTAAATCTACCATTCATCCGTGCATTGAATATTACTACCATATCTCGTTTTGTGCTTCTGCTATATATTTCGAAATTCTTTATAAAATCCAAAGAAGAATCTGCAATGTTATCGGTCCTGACCTGGCTTCTCGGCTTCACCCACTTTCTCGCTACCGTAACTCAGCCCCCTTTTGTATTTTTTATAAATATTTTCATGGCAATTGCTCTAACGAACTCTCCTCATTGGTGCCTTGAACGCATGAATTTAAGCGTACTACTAGATTGGCAATTAGATCTCGTCGTTTTAATATTAAAATAACTGATGTATCTGTGAGTTCTATTTTGATAGTTTCTTTTCTCGCACTTCGTGACTGAGGAACTCCCTTTCGATTTCTTGCTTCTCCGCCACCTGCGATATCCACAAATATAAATGCAACGTCAATTTTTTATATATATATATATATATATATATATATATATATATATATATTAGTTGTCACACCTGCATAGATTTTTCCCTCTATCATCGAAACAACATAAACGCTCGCATATAGCTTTTTATTAAACCTTGGTATGGCACATAACCACAGACGTTGCTAATCAGTTATAATGATTTGTATGACGGGAAGTGGTAAGCAAAAACTGACCAAGGAGTATTTTAGCGATAGATGGTGAATTGTTACCAGTTTGGCACAAAAAGGTGCCAATCTAGAGTGACTAGCTCTCCAAAAGCTAAGCTAAGTAATGAAACAGAAAAATTACGTTAGAAACAAAGAAATGAGCACTGAACTGTTATTTAATATCATTCTTCCTATATGGCAGTGAATGCTGGACAATTTGCTCACAAATGAAGGAGAGACCTGAAACAAAAGAAATGTGGTTCTACAGAAGAATGGTGAAAATACCATGGACGGAACATGTGAGCAACGACGAAGTTTTAAAGAAAATAAAAAAAAACCCAAAACACCCCCCCCCAAAAAAACAACAAAAAACAAAAACAAAAAAAAACGATACTTATACTTAACACTAGTAGAAATTTCTAGAGAACTCAAGGAGGAAGTAAAGCTTTGAAATTTGATACTCACAGAACAGAAAGAAACCAAGAGAGGCAAAGGAAAACAAAGCAGACCCTGCCTAGCGAGCTTTAGTGGGTGGCGGAGCAGGGTTTAGGAAAGATAGCGAAAAGGCAAAATTTATTAAAAGCTACAAAGCACTGGAAATTGTGGAGAGCCATTATCGCCAGCGTCATGAAGTAACACGGCACATAGATGATGTCGTTGAGAGGTGTAGAGCCGCCCCTTGGAACACACACTCTCTCTCTCTCTCTGAATACGAGCGGCTTGGTAAATTGAAACCAGTTGTTTGATCCGGTTCTTACACGCGCCACTGTTTATACAACCCCATAACCTTTCAGGCTCGTATTTATAGTGATTATGATAAGCATCGCACGGAGAATTAGAGTCAATGGACGAATGACACAGATGGATGGAATATTCTTCGTACTGAACTTCATATGATAGAGTCGTTTAAAAATAGTCACGTGATTTTCTGAAGAGGTGTCTCAGCCAATAGCTCTTGATCCAGAAACAACAACTTCAACAAGCAAGTTGGTGAGAACGAGTTCAATCTCTGGATGATCCGCAAAATAGCATTGTCGTTATGGACTCTAACTTCAGGAAATTTCAAGTTTCTTTTTCTCTGTCAAAGTTAAGCAACACCGAGCCTGGTCAGTACCTAGGTGGTTGACCGCTTGGAAATACCAGGTGATGTAAGCATGGATGTGCGAGTGGTGTAATAGATAACGCCTCGGAATTAGAAAAAGCCGAGTTCCAATTCCATACGGGTTAGTTATATTCACATACGCGCAAATACTTTCGGGAAAGGTATGACTCCACCTTGTCTCCCCCAGCTAAAGGTTAATTACTACGATTTGTATTAGTAAATCATTATTATGGCAAAAAATTCTTGCAATCTGAAAACATTTTATGGCTTTAAATAACCAGCAAATCGCTGATAAGCCGTAAAAACAAATCAATCAATCGATAATCAATCTATAACTCCCTCCCTCTGTATAATCAACGATTTCTCTCTTTCCAATTAAGGTTTCACTAAATATTATTACGGTTCTATCATGGATCATTTTTTTCTTACAATCAAGTTATCAATTTCCTTTTTACCATATTCGAAAATATGAATCCAGAGAGAGATGAATATTTTCTATAATCATTTCACCCAAAGCGAGGTGGTAATGTCACTGAAGCGCAAGCTGTTGCTGAGAGTGGAAGAGAATGAGAAGACTTTATGGAGAGAAAGGAAAAAAATAAAAACAGGGTTCAGGAAGATAAAAAATAGCGATTGACGTTGCATTTAAATTTTTGAAGATTGTAGGAAATAGGGAAGCAAGAAACCGAAAGAGAGTTCTACAGGTGAGAAGTGCGAGAAAAGATAATCTATTCGAATAGAGTTTTCATTTCAAGCGCTTTAGGCTAGTCAATAAGCCATTTTCAAGAATTTAGCTTGTGCTATTGCAAATGGCGTTGAGGTTGATGATACGTCTATAATAGACAATTTCCAATAGTAGAACCCAGCTCCTTGAAAATGGCCAGTAAATTAACCGAAAGCGCTCGAAATGAAAATTCAATTGGATTATTTCTATATGCACTATGTCCTAAAAATAAATTTCTTGTTTGCACATAAGAAAGAAAATTAACAAAACTATTGGGTTGGCCAAAAAGTTCATTCGCTTATTAAGCAGAAAATTTGCTTAATAAACATTAAACAAATTTTTTACTTAATAAGCGAAGGAACCTTTTAACCAAACCAATACAATGTCAATCATTTTTAATTAAACGTGTTATGACGGATTACTGCTAAAATACACAAATATGTTCAGGCATATAAATGTGTTGGTTACTTTTGTTTATCGGCATATAGGTTATTTAATGCCGAAATCTAGATATTTTGTACGTATTTTTTGGTGAGGGAGGAGATAATAAATGGTTTTAGTGATAAACGTCTTACTAATTAACCCATAGCTATTGGGAGAAGAGGTAGATTCATAACTTTCCCAAGGGTATTTGCGCGTAAAGTGAATATAACAAACCTAACTGGAATCGGAACTTGGCTCTCCGATTAACAATTCCGAGCCATTATCCATTACACTATCCGCACATACAAGCTTACAACACGTAGTATTCCTAAGCGGTCACCCATCTAGGTATTGACCAGGCTCGATGTTGCTTAACTCCGGCGATCATACGGGAAGCGGTCATTCAACGTGATGTGGTGGTAAGCCTTGACATTTATCTCTCTCTCACACACACACACACATATTATATATATATATATATATATATATATATATATATATATATATATGTGTGTGTGTGTGTGTGTGTGTGAGTGATAACAATATAGTTTAAAGGTATGCTATATTTTTTATTTAAAGTGCACGATATCAGGGGTAGAGTGTATGTAAATATAAAAGTGGACATTGAGGTCAACACTCAGCGGCGACTGTCTGTTTCATGCTTAAACGCAACCTTCAGGCCAAACTGTCGCTGATGTGTGTTAACCTCAATGTCGATTTGTTATATAACACACACACATATATATAAGATTTGTAGCTAAAATAGTTGCTTATTCATCTTCAATGCAGATAGTCGGGTTCCCAGATCAAAGAAAATTAAAAAAACATAGATTTGAATCCAAATATTTAAAGTAAGATGAATATTTCAACAGATTTCTTACCGCGAATTCATTGTAATCGTCCCGAATTCGTGTACTTGTGAATTCTGCAGTATCTACAGAATATAAGTATCTAGAACCATCTCTCTCTCTCTCTCTCTCTTTCTTTCTTATATCTGCTTGACAGCATTTATAAAACTGCACAATACAGCAAAATCGTCGGGTGGCAAAATGCTTGTATAATCATCCAACGCTATAATTTAATCTGGTTGGGTCACACCAAATTCCAATCTCGTTTGCCACTCAATTATCGTACTCTTGTTCATCAAATAAACATGCCGGTACGGTTAAAATATTTCCTTCAATTGCCTCTCTCCCCACACGGAGTTTATTTGGTACGGCCAGCTTACTATTTTTTTAAAAAATAATTTCCCCTACGTCAAGATTATTTTGTTTCAGGAATGAAAAATTCCTAACTGAAGGTTTATTTGTACCGGCACTATTATTGCAGACGGCACTTGTATTCGGTAAAAAAAAAGAAGAAGAAAAGAAAAGACTTTTGGAGCAAACACCACTGCATTTTTTACATAGGCAAACATCTTTGCAAAAAACAAAGAACTCTTCACCGATCCAAACAAGAGAAAAACAAAACGTTTACTCTTCCTTATCGCATATACTACAGCACAAACGTTAAAACGAATAGAAATATATTAACGAATTCACAAGTAAGATACAGAATAGGTGCCAAATAGTCTTTTTTAATATATATATATATATATATATATATATATAACACATCTGAAAGGATGCAATATTAGTTATTATAAAACATTAAAGACTAAATATACTTTTTAACTTGTATACTAGATTTCTATTAAAACTACTACAAGAATATGTTGATTTTATATATTAATCAATTCACCCCAAAGAAGGCAATAATGTCACTAAGATGCAAGAGGTTACCGGGAGAGAAAGAATGCAAAGACTTTAGAAGGAACAGGAAACAAAGGGGTAAACCTTTACTCTTGTCCAAAAAGACCGGAGAGGCGTATATATGATGGTTTTGTGTGTGTGCTAATATACACCCAGGAAGACTTAAAGAAATTATGATATTTGGTAAGACCTTGGGAAGTGGGTCGGCCCGAGAACCTTCCGTCAATTCCTAATATATGTTTTGTAAAAAAAAAAAAGCTTTCCTATTGCTAAAAACGTGACATGAAATATATTTGTGAGACATCAAGAAATTTATTTATTTTTTTTCTTACAATGATATTCATCCTGTACAAAGCCCGGGGGCCACTCGAGGTAGAGGGTTACAGAGTAAGAAGCATAGTTTATGTGGATATGTGGGGAAGATAATGGTTATCTCTAGATTTGGACAGGTCAAGATTGTAGTGATCGGGGAAGCATCCTCTTGGGAGTTGGTTCCCATAAAGCAGAGGTTCGTGGGAAGAAGCTGTTCCAGTGGAACTTATATCTCACTGGGATACGAAGGGAATTAGCGGGATTAAGTGGGGTCTTTTACAAAACTTATACTTAGTACATTATTCGCACATTTTGAAAGGTCTGACTATAATTACTGATTAGAAGAATGCGGTTCTGGTTAAAAGCGAAAGTGATTTATTAAGACGACAGTGCAATTGAAAGAGCATCGTATCTATGTGACAAATGTACTTTTGATTCTGAAAAACATAACACAATTACTAAGCTCTGTTTATTCTCCTCTTACATCTTACAACTGCAAGAAAAATAGTACTCACAGAGTACCTTTTTTATCTCTATACACAGATTACGAACGTAGGTAAAGAATTTCTCTAATATGTACTCACTCTGAAAGTGCCATGTCTTTAATGTGTACGCATGTCGATAGATTTCGTGTATTAATTAAGTTATAGACGTATCTTTAATTATTCCAAATACAATCCTCAAAATAATAAGCCTTTTGCCAGACAAAGTTAACATTCACACATTATACACACACACATATATATATATCTTGCACGTAACTTTTACATGCAAGTACACATGCTATGCCACGAATCGGTATTTTTTACAAGAGCTAGAAATATTTTCTTACCAGTACTAGACTGATGGCAAATAGGAGGGTTCCTTTGCTCAGATTAAAATCCAGAGTTTCTTTTCTCATTGGTAAAAATGTGGTAACAAATGCCACCAACCCAGCATTAGGATGAGAGCTTTAGTTTTGACGGCCTGTTGTCTTTCGTCGTAACACTTTGGTTTTAATGCTTATATTAATGGTAACTCTAGTAGTACTACTGATAGTAGTAGTACGACTATTTTATTGGCCCACAACGCGGATTTGCCTTTTCCGCGCGAGTTCCCAACAGTGGTGGCGACAGCCACCATCACTACGCCGGCCGCACCGGCTATCAGGTTCAATTTCACAAGTGTCTCGAAAAGGCGCAATTGTTGTCGAAATGATTTTTCTGCTTATAGACAAGTTTGCATTCACATTTCGCGTTCAAAGCCTGGCATCTGATGCCCTATTTTCATCTGTTAAGTTTTAAAAAAAATCTTTAATCAATGGTTCAATCGATCATTTCTGCCTTGGAAACTAAATTAAATGTTATTTCTTTAATTCGTCAGATTTGTTTTAAAGTTAAAACATCTTTCCTCTTAAAAATATATTTACGTCATTTCCTCTGTTGAAAAAAATATGTTTGTTCAACATTTGCTTTCTACTGGTTTCGTTAGCGTTACCAGAGCTTTTATTTGACAATATATAATTTTAAGTATTTGAACACACACATATAAATATATATTCTTTATTTTATTATATATGTATGAAGACAGCAATCCTCCTTTTACGCATGTTTACTTAAATATGACCAAAAAGTGACAGTTTGTAAAAAAAAAAAAAAATTACAAAATATTCCTTGATCGTCATGCAAACATGCACACACACTCGTGTGTGTGTGTGTGTGTGTGTGTGTGCATTTGGTTAAATATGAAGAACAACGAATATTTTGTAAACTTAATCATTTTTTTTCATTATTCCTTAAAGTTAAATCATCTTTTAAGGAGACATGCATAAAAGAAGGGTTGCTGTTCACACACGTCTGTATGTGTGATGTTCTATATACAGAGAATGAAATCAATTATAGGAGTAGGTACAGAAATTCTGACGATGTAAGCTGAGATACAGAGATTTACTACACTCCTGATTTTTTAACAGACTTTTCTCTATCTATATCGCTTTATATCTATATCTATCTCTTGATATCTATTTATATCTCTCTCTCTATATATATATATATATATATATATATATATATATATATCTCCTCTCTCTCAGTTCTTATATATAAGAACTCATGGATATATATTTTTTTTTTTAATCCGATAGTATTTTTAATAGATATTAATGCTGTAAATTATATTTCAGTTCTTCTACAGGGATTTCTCACCATCTTTTCCAGTCTTCAGATGGTCAATGACATTTCATATTTCATGCAGGATGGCACTCTATTCAATGTTATAAAAGTGACCATAGTGTAGATGGATCAAAATAGGAAAGTCAGTCATCAAACATGAACCATATTGAATATGTCTGGCCTTATTAGATAGATCACTGCATAAGAAATGGGTGAAACCTGCTTACTGTGACAAATTGCTTCAACTTCTGCATTCAACTTGGGCAGAAATTTCCCAGTTGAAGATTGTAGAGTATGCCTCTTTTATGCCTGTCTGGGTGAAGGCACTCAAGGATGTTAAAGGAACATCAACTAAATATTCATTTGCATTCATTAAATAAACAATGTTCCTCCTCAACTCTAGTTTATACTTTGTTTCCAAATTTGGTACGTATGTATTTACTTTTGATCTCTCTCTATCTCTCATAACTAAAAATCATAGCTGTAAAAAGATAATATGAATCTTAGCCGACGTGTTTCGTCCTCTGGTGAACTTTATCAAGGCAAATGTAAAGATATTCTTTTGCAAAAGTTTTATGCAAAAACGTCGTTAGTTTTTCAGTATTTTTAAAGTTAAGAACACTCATAAATATACGTCAAGGTAAATTATGGAAGATGCTAAGAGATGTAATTTAATGTCTAATAAACGAAAGTGGGTAAATGTCATTATTGAATGTATATTTTTTATAATGTAATTAATTACCGTAATTCCCCATGTATAATACGCTTTCATCCTTAATGCGAACACCTAAAATTGTGCTGAAAGTGTGGGAAAATGCTTCTGCTCATGCATAATACGCACCCCTTGTTTGGTAATCAAACCCTATAAATTGTAACTCTCCAATTTCATTATGGCCAGCATATCCTACTCATATTTAAAAAAATGGTTTTAAACAGAATTATTCTAATTTAGTTTTATGATAATTCTTATTTTACGGCAAATTTTTAAAGATTTTTGTAGCTGTGCATTATACGCACCTTTGATTTTTCTTATTATTTGTTTAGAAAAAATGCGTATTATACAAGGGGAATTACGGTATGCTATTTTAATTTGAGAAATTAAATTATGTAATATAGATTTTAAATAATAGGTTTTGAATTCAAGCGTTTTCTTTTAATTCAAATTTATTTTTATAGTCATGTATGCTGGCTTTGGAAAGAA